TGTCCCTTGCTTTCCTCTCCCCTCCTTCTTCCCTTCCTATCCCTTCCCTTCCCTCCTGCTTGCTGTCTGTTTCTTGTCTGTCCTATTGGATTTCTACTTTGGTTTGAATATGGAGGCTGGTCCAGCCATCCCACTGCTCCTTGCTTTTCTCCTGGAGCTTTGCCAAATCCAGTGTAGGGTGGTTAACTCTTTGCCTGCTGATTTCCTGTGGCATCCTTTATGTTTGGTTCCAGCAGTCTTACCACAATGCTGCCTTTTTACTATGTCCCATCTAGATTTGGAGCTGTTCAGAAGCAAGAGAGCCAAGGTTTTGCTTATTTGTATAAAGAACTTTTATTAATACACCACAACAGCCAGACATGCTCTCCAAGTTGTGTTCGCCCCCTGCCCCCACACACACACACGCACACCACATCTCTGAGGAGCTCAGGGCCTATGCACGCCAGGCAAACACTCTCCCAAGAAGGCACACTCCGAGCCCTCCAAACTGCTGTTTTCCATCCTTTCTGATTCTGGGCCCACAGATCAGATTTTAACTAGGCAAGAATTTGCAATGGCATGCATATGTTTTCACTGCTAAAAAGTTCCAAGTATAACAAATTCACTGGGTGAGAAAATTATGTATTTGCTGGTGAGAGTGTAAAGAAAGTTGACTGAGTGCTGCACAGTATTTATTAGCAAATTCTTGGAGTAATTCTGGGGCATTTTGTTGGTTTTCAGAAAACTATAGCTTTTCAATAGTTAATATTCTGAAGAGACTTTTGCCTTTGTTTCCTGTAAGCACTTTTTTTTTTATTCTTGGGGTACATGGGTCAGTATATTTTTACCATTAATATTTATCTCTGGCCAGGCATGGTTTGATCAAGCTTGTAATACCTGCTACTTGAGAGTCAGAGATTAGGAGAATCTTGGGTTGACACCAGTAAAAAGTTCATGAGACCCCATCTCAACCAATAGTTGGATACAGTAGCAGGTGCCTGTTATCCCAGCTACATGGGGAAGCACAAATAGGAGGATGGTGGTCCAGGCCAGCTGGGGCATAAAGTGAGACCCTGTCTCAAAAACAACCAACACAAGAAGGGCTATCGGAATGGCTCAAGTGGTACAGTGCCTGCCTAGCAAGCATGAGGCCCTGAGTTCAACTCCCAGTACCACCAAAAAAAAAAAAAAATTATCTCCAACTTTATAATTGTTGATGTTAAAACCAGGATTCCCTAAATATTGTTTGCTTTGTGACAAATGTTGCTGAAATGGAGTATTTGGTTAGTCCAGAGAAGGTAAGTAGATGGAACATTTATTCCTACTTCTGTAAAACAATCTTAAGTAGTTTGTTGATGTGGTGGTAATGGTTTGTATGTTTTGATACATGGCATCATTTTTTCATTAGTCAGAATTGTACAGGTGTATCTCCCAAGGCAAATGGACTCATCCTTACAGGTAAAAGACTGGACTGTGCTGTCAGCTCCTTCTCAGGGAAGATCTGGGCATGTCTCAGCCACTCCAGGCCACGTCTCTGGTCCACCTCCCCGTCACGTGCTTAAATGTAGCTCCAGCCAGCAGCCGAGGAGGGCTGGGTTTTATCTACTTCGTGCCCAAAGCGTGAGGCCTTGCTTTACTCTAAGTATTTCTGTTTCTGTCCTCAGCTGCTGTCCCTTTGTGCATAGCACAAAACAAATCTTCCCAGGTTAAGAGAATTGACTGATGGTGATAAGTGAAACCTCACTCTGAAGTGCACTGTGTGGAAGAAAACCATGTATGCAGGGAGCTAAAGCAAATACTGGTCTTTCTAGCCGTTACAACAAACAAACAAAAACAGCCATATGTATTTAAAATTATAGTTTTTCAGGCCAAAATTTTTTCTTGAAGAGTGTTTACATACAGTGAGGACACGGGAGAACCTGACATCTGCTTCTGTACCAGAAGGTGCCACGGTGAACTGGACAGACAGAGCCTCTGTTCTTGGAGAGCTTAGGCCCCAAACGGGAGAGGGTGACTGAAAATTTAGGCAAATAATGGTTTAAGGAGCTACAGGTATCATGGTTAGTATTTGAGAATTTAAATGTAGCATCATTTTCTAATTTGCATTTTTTTTAAAAAACTCTTGCTCCTTGGGACTGGAACTAGGTGGGTCAGTATAGACAGAGGGAAGGGGATGAAATGTGGAAATCAAGGACAAGGTAGAACGGAAAAGACCATGTAAGAGCAGGGTGGTGTGATGACTCTCAGGTCTCCCACTGCAGTGGCTGGCTGAAAGGGGCCGTTGAGACAATGAAGAGTGGATGAGGAACACTGGGGGACAGGAGAGGATCAAGGACATGGTGTATTTGTGATGTGTGCAAAATCTCTAAGGAGAAGAAATATCTGGAAAGCTTTTGCAGAGATAGTCTGGAAAAGCAGTCATGGCTGAGTTGTGACTGTGGAAGTCACTGGCACATGGGTGGTGTTGAAACCATGGCCGTGGGCAGGGTCACACCGTGGTGAAAAGAGACTTAGACCAGAATGGCCCTGAGACATGCCATGCCTGGAAGGGACCTGGGAGGGTGTGTAAAAGTGGCACATGAGCCTGAGCAGGAGCTGCTAGCAGCAGTCACCCTGCAAGAAATTAAAAATCGTATCTATGACCTCAGAGCACACATCCCTGGCCAGCAGCTCTAAGCCACAGCCTCCAGTCGGCTCATAAGATGCTTTGTCTAATGCTGAGAAATAAATCCACTGAAGATGAAGGCTCATCTTCCTGGTGAGGGCGGCCTTCATCCTCATGTACAAGCAGAGTGTACTGGGTCAAACGCAGAATAGAATGTGTGTGTGTGATGTGGGAGGGTCAGAGAGCCTCGGTGTCCCCTGCCCCGTCTTGGCTCCGCTTTGGCTCCTGGTCATTGGGGACAGTCCTGCTTGTCACTGCACTGTCGTGTTTTTATTTCCCTTTATGTTGAAAATTAAACAGCACATGGAGATTTAATAAGAAAAGTAGCTGAGAAGATGTGCAAACTTAAAGTCTTGGATGAAGTAGCATGGAGGAATCTGTGAGCGCCTCTCCCTGGTTTCAGCGTTTCACACCATATGTGTCCATCCAGGGACTTTGCAGTAAATCCCAGATGGGATGTTTGTAGGCCGTACCAAGTTCTAAAAGACTAAAACCAGAACAACCTTTCAACTTTATATAAAATAAATTGAAGTCCTAGTTATTTGCTGTATATATGAAAATGACTAGGAATTCCTTCCTGTAAAAATTGGATTTAATTTGTTGAGGTCCTATCAAGAGATCTAAGGTGAAAGGTGGTCCTTGGTTTAGCATGGTACCGTTAACTGCATGGTGCCGTTTCTTTTGATGTAAATCCTTGATGTGAATGCATGCTTTTTGCCAATCATTGAAGAGGCAGGGATAGAAAGAGACTACTGCTCCGCTGACAAGAATGTTAAAAAGCTTGGCAACCAGCTATGTAAAGCTGGGTGTTTCTTAAACATTTCCACTTTCCTTTTCTTTCTCAAGATGTATTTCAGTTCTTCATTGGTGTTTTAGTTTGTGTTTCAGAAGTTTAAATGTCAGCACTTGTGAGGGAACCATGTTTAGCTCAATCAAGATGTCCTTTCAGCAGATGTATGACATTTCATGTTTATGATTGACATTCTAGCCATCAAGAACAGCACTGTATCCCTACTGTAACCCAAATTTCAAACCGGACATGGCTTCTCCTTGTCCCAATTTCACATCTGACATTACAGTTCCACATTGAGGAGTCACTCTTCTTACATGAAGTCCTTCCCACCTTCACTTGGAAGCCGCTGCCTTTGTGCTTCTTCTTTAAGAAGCACATTTCTATTCTATTTGTCCAAAATAGAAATAAGTTTCCATGGTTGACGCCCTACTCATTCCTACCTGTCTGTGTTTTTAATGTTTTCTCTCTCATTTCCAAATGATTACCTTCTCACACCCTGCCCAAGCTCACACACTGACCTGACCTGTGCAGACAGCACAGCAGCCTTCCTGGTGGGATAGGTGCTGTGAGACCTGCGGCTCTGACACCCCAGGAGAAGAGGGACAGACACACGACTACAGAGGGGAAGCTTTCAGATTGCAACAGCCACTGAATGGGAAAATTGTGGTAGAAAAAAGTTAAAAGCTTTGGGAATAAGCATTTCTGAGCATTTTCACTGACCAGCTCCAAGCCAGAAGCACGGCATTTACCATCTCGATAGTATGTATATCTTAAACATCTGCAGACTAAAAGTTACCGTCATTCCAAAAGCAAATGCTAAGCAGCATCTTTCTCAATGTATGTTTTCATGTAGCAGTTTCATTAGCTTGTGAACTATGGCTGTTTCCTCAAAATGCATAAAAATTGGGCCATTCATCAGAAACAGCAGCTGACAATGGGCTCTCTAAAGAGTAGATGCTTTTAAAACCTGACTTCCCGGAGACAGAAAAGGGGTTAGGATGGCCAGACTGGTGAGTGCTGGCCAGTGTCTTGGGAAATGAGTTTTTTGCCATAGGATTACAAAACAGGGCTCTCCTTTGTCTTCACATGTATGACTGCCATTCATCCTCCTTGTTAAATTAAGAGTCTTTTTACATCATTCCAGGCTGCTGTTGCCTGAGAATAGGTGTGGGGTTGGTTATATATTTTTAATGTCTTTTTATAATGTAAAAATTGCATTAAAAACTTAACTACATGAGACATTACTATTTTTTAATCAGAAAAAGTTATTTTCAAGAAAGTGATCAATTTTAACTTCTAAGGAAAGTATTGACAATTTGCAGAAAGTATAAAATACTTGAGTTACATATCAGCCTGTTAATTCCACAAATGAGAGCCTCATGCCTAGAAATAGAGAAATATTAAGAAAAAAATTTCTGAACAGAGACTGACATCGGTAAATGTAGGGCAAGCCACAAATAACAGAAAAATACTCCCTAATATTTGGGGGGGGGGTAGTTAGTTCTCTTGTTGCTGTTTACTCATCTTTCATTCTTTCTTCCCTTCTTTTTATCTTACTTTTAGTGGCCACAGATGTCTTTAATTCCAAAAACCTGGCCATTCAGGCACAAAAGAAGATCCTGGGAAAGATGGTGTCCAAATCCATTGTCACCACTTTGATAGATGACACAAGCAGCGAGGTGCTGGACGAGCTCTACAGAGTGACCAGGGAGTACACCCAGAGCAAGAAGGAGGCAGAGAAGATCATCAAGAACCTCATCAAGACGGTCATCAAGCTAGCTGTCCTCCACAGGAACAACCAGTTCAGCCACGACGAGCTAGCACTGATGGAGACATTCAAGAAGAAGGTGCACCAGCTGGCCATGACCGTGGTCAGCTTCCACCAGGTTGACTACACCTTTGACCGCAACGTCTTGTCCAGGCTGCTGAACGAGTGCAGAGAGCTGCTGCATCAGGTCATCCAGCGCCACCTCACCGCCAAGTCACACGGACGGGTCAATAACGTCTTTGACCACTTCTCAGATTGTGATTTCTTGGCTGCCTTGTATAATCCCTTTGGAAAATTTAAACCTCACTTGCAGAAACTTTGTGATGGCATCAACAAGATGTTGGATGAAGAGAACATCTGAGCGTGCCAGTGAGCCCTCGACTCACCGCCACTCATGAAGGAAGGAAGAATTTTTTTTTAAAGATTACGCGTATTTCAGAAAGACTTGACCCCGTGAACTGTCACACATTAGTGGTAGTGCCTTTATGAAGTGTGCTGTATTTGAAGAAAAGCATATTGCCAAAAATTCTGGTTAAAATCTTCCTCAAGTGGGGATAGGTCATGGGAAGATTGTGTGGTTGTGTGCAAATGTAGTCATACAAAGAAATATAAGGGATGCTGCAAAATCTAAGACTATTTTAGGGCACCTTTGTCTTGGTGGCACATTGGGGATTTCTAAGATGTACATCTAGGTGTTTTGACTCTTTTATTCCTTGCTACCATGCTGTGTGTATGCATCTCTTTAAAAGCCAGCCACTTTCTCTTGCTTCCTTGCTCCTTTTGAAACAATTCTGTTTTCAGTTGTACCTTCCCTTGATCCTTTTGTTAAAGATTATGTCATTGACATTCAAGAATTAAATTTGAAGCAGTCCAGTTAAACCCTCAGGAAGACAGAAAACTGTATCTGCACTCAGTATTATGGAAATGGCCTCTTGGACATTGCAGTGTGAGCACAGGTTCCCAAAAAGGAGTTTATATGTTCAGTAGCAACAGTGATACTAGATTCTCAAAAGTAGTGACGTGTCACTCCTCTGAGAGGCTTCCTCGGGGCCAACTCTGACACCATCTTGATGGAGACCTTCATTATTAACATGGAACAAAAAGTAAGAAAAGCTAGATTGGTTTTGCTATTGTAACAATAAAAAGTCATCCACATTAAAAAAAATCTAAACACTCTTCATTTTAGAGATGAACCCATCAAAATACTGGGGGGATGAGCAATAAAGGGGAGAAAGGAGACTGTTAAGCACCAGGTGAAAGCAAATACATTTCAGTGTTTAACAAGGTTTTTCTTTTTTCTTTTTCGGTGGGATTGGAGTTTGAACTCAGGGCTTCGAACTTGCAAAGCAGGCACTCTACCACTTGAGCCACACCTCCAGTCTGCTTTGGTGTGATTATTTTGGAGAGAGGAGTCTTGTGAACTGTTTGCCTGTGCTGGCCTTGAACCTTGATCATACCAATCTCGGCATCCCAAGTAGCTAGGATTACAGGTATAAGCCACCAGCGCCTAGCTAATAAGGTTTGATAAATAAAGAATGTTATTTTTTATTTAATAAGGTTTTGATGTTTTGTTATTTACTATTTTGATAAGTAAAGCAAAGAACATTTGCATCCTGAGAAGTCAGTGTGTTGTCTCAGTGTAATTTTAGGTGGGCAGATGATTAAGTGAGCATCTGCCAGCTGTATCATCTAAGAAATAACAGGCCCACCTCGGCACTAAGTATTTGCTTTGCACTGTGTCCTTAAGTCTGCTACCTCCCAGATTATGAGAGCTCCCACAAATGACAATTCCAGAAGTTGAGATCTGCGTTAGCCTATCCAAGTCTACAGGGAGCTGGTCAGCATCTCTGGACCCTCCTTGCTTGGCTAAGACAATTAGCAAAGAAAAGAGTATCTCCTGATTGTTACTAAATACTGATACTCCAACCTGAACTAAACATAACCTGCTCACTTCCTAGAGCACTGGATGTCACAGCAGTAGCACAGTGACGGCAGATTGGTCCCTTGGGCTTCTTCTCGGCAACCTTCTCCTGCTCTCCTTTCCTGGTGTGGGGGAGCCAGAGTGATGATGGGAGCTGCCAATGTCAAATGTTCTGTCCTCCACATCTCACTGGGCAGGAGCGTGAATGACACAATGCCTGGACAGCTTCTTGCTCCTTTCCAGCCGTGGACAGGATCAGCCAGCCAGAGAAGATCAAGACCTAGGCCTAGGAGAAATTTAGATCTGTGGGGGCACATTTGGAGCATATTATATGTACAGGCTAGCAACCAAATGTGCATGGGGGTGGCAGGGATGACCCTTAATTTCACAAAGAGGGAAGGCATGAGGAGTGGCTTGTGGTTCCAGGACCCCTGTGGAGGCTCAAGTCCCTTCAGTAAAAAGGTTCGGTCTTTGTACATAACATAGCTCTATCTCCGTCACCTCTAGGTTACTTACAATACCTACTACAGTGTAAGTGTTTATGCAAATAGTTATACTATATTGCTTAGGAAATAATGACAAGGAAAAAGTCTGTACATGTTTAGTATAAACACTTTTTTAAAAAAATTTTTAATCCACAGTTGGTTGAATCTGCAGGTGCAGAGCCCTCAGGTGTGGAGGGCCAGCTAAGCACTGAAGGACCTTCCTCAGGGGACTCATGGCCTCACTTCTTATGTCTGGACAACATGCCTGAGGTTAGGATTAGCACATTAGTTTCTGGTACAACTGGACTCCCCTTTTGCAGGAGTTTAGTGTGGCGGGGAGAGGTGTGGGATGGAAGCTGGCAAGAATTAGAATGTGTTTACGATAGGTAATTCTGGGCCAAGTTAGTAAGTTTGGGATCTTAGGAACTTTCTTTTTTGATCCTCTAGAGACAGGGTATTGCTAGGTAGCCCAGGCTAGCCTTGAACTCTTGATTGTCCTGCCTCAGCCTTCCAAGGGAAAACTCATTTGAACCACCACACCTAACTTAACCTTTTTCTTTTAAATGATGTCTTTTTAGATTTGGAGAATGGAATAATTGTTATTAATCTTGTGCTGACGTCTTTTCTGTAAGAAGTACAAGCTAATGTAGTCAGTGAATAGTAACAGTGATGCTGACGGGTGATTGCACCCCGCCATTCACTCAATTCCTGCCTCGCCTTCCTCGGTTTACAGATAAAGACACTGTGCAAGAGAAATGAAGGAGGTTGCTGTGGTCAGCTAGTAAGTGTCAGTTACAAAAACCTCATTTTTATTTAAACAATTGAAGGTGAAGGCAATTCTAGAAACACCACTGCATCAGAGAAGATTAGGCATGATGCTTCTAAAATGAGTTTTAAACTGTACCAAATCTAAATCATGAGAGGTCTGACCTGTTATCTAAAGAGCTGGGTCTGATTTTATACAAAGACATTTTTTCAGATTTTTGAACGTGGCTTCTAATTTGAAGGTATCTTCAGGTTTCTGTCTCTGTGGGACTTCAGTTCAAGGTGCTTACAGGTACTGATGACTTTGTGATGGACACGTGAGGGTCACTGAGTCACAACCACTCTGCATACCAAGACAGTTCCCTACTGTGATGTGCACAGTAGGGCATCAAGTCAGAACTTCCACTGTATCCCAGCTGTGGAGACTGAAAGAAAACCTTTGAGCAAGTAAAGAATAGCTCAAAGTAAAGAATTGTGTTTTATTAGACCTTTCATGTACATGAAACTCAAAGTTAGTTTAAAAGAAAACGTGTTAGAAACTAATGGTGCACAAACACTGCTTTTTTTTGTCTTATAAAACAGTATCTCCCTCTGTAAATACACATTAAATGCCCACACACTTCAAATTCTGATGGATTCCTGACCCTACCAAAGACATAAGGCAGTACTTTTCTGGTCCCTACATACCAAGTCTGCTGGATTTTTTTTTTTAACTGATGATTTTAATTTATCCTTGAGATATTTGTAGAGAGATTTATGAGCTAAGTTACAATTTAGCTTTCCCAATCCTGACAGATAATATGTGAAAGACAAATTGTTTATCCATGCCTGAAATATTTGTAATAAAGAGTTCAGTGCTATATAATTGCTAGGAAATTAAAATTCTAATTAAAAAAAACAACTTGATTGTTAGTAGGAACTACGGTACTTAATTTTTTTGTCTAATCTTGCCTTTCCACATTCACATTATCTTAATTAGCTGACTTTTGCAGTGTCTTCCTTGGTTTATTATTACATTCCTGGACATAAAACTTCTGAGTTCAACTCATGGCAGGTTTTAGTACTGCATGCTAGTCATGACAAACCCTTAACCTCCCTCTGAAATGATTTTACTCTCTGTGATTCTCATAAAGACTGCACAAACCCCCTAATTGGAACACTGAGGCAGTACACAGAAAAATGAGTCAACTTTTGTTTCCAAAAATGATATAATAGAAAAATCCATGAGTGCTTAAAGTCACGTATCTCCATCACCACAAAATACTGAAAATTCATTGTCTTTTTTTACTGAGGGGGACACTTCTGTGTGGCCCAGAACCAAAAAAAATTTTCATCTGAGGGAAATTTCCAAAGTGGAAATATTTCTGTGTGATACTGATTCATCTCTGTCTAGGCAAAGATGTGTTTTCCAACTAGCAGTGAACTACAGCCCTAAGCTATGGCAGACTGGCCACTTAAAATGTACCATCTGCCATGTACTAAAAAAAGATGTGGACACAGCAGCCAGGGCTCACAGGTAAGAGAAAAACATCTGTGCTTGGGAAATATTAAGTGTGGAGAACTGTGCTGTGTCCACCAGATTTCCACGAGGTCCTTGTCAGACCTGGCAGTCAAGGGACAGAGCCTCTGCCTTCCTGGGTGGCAGAGGGAACTCTGCCTTCCCCTCTGACAGCTGCATGACTGTATTTGTGCCTCATGGAAATAAATTGACTGACCAGGCACTTGGAGTTCATTCTTAACCCAGGGGAAGAATATTTGATTTTTAAAAGTGTTCTGATTTGCAAAATGACCTAAGACAACAATACGCTTCTCTGTACTCTGGCTTTTCCGTTTAAACACTTACATATAAGTCATTGAAAACTGCCTAATGTGAGGGATAAACATGGGCATGGAAGTTAAAACTTAATAGCTAGCTGTGCTGTCACCATTATCTGGGCTGGTTGATGTTTTGTAAGAAGCCCAGGTTTTCCTAGACACGCCCGCTATTAGCCCAGCAGGGACTGTCACTTACCCATCCTGCTTTTGCTCTCTTTTTAAGACCCCTTGTTTTCAGAGGATAAATAAACACTTGCTGGGCAAATCACACAACTTTTGGAGACACTTTCTGTCCTGAAGACTCACTGAAAACTAGCAAGCATTCAGTGCTCGTGCTGTTCCCTGGTCCCATGGACTTTGTGTTCCCATCACTGGGGAGTCACATTCTTAGCTTGCTAAAATATCCACTCAAGAACATGCAGTGAACTCAGTGGAAGCATTCCACCGTGTTTTCAAACATCACGTGTCAGATTTGACGTCTCTTCCTCCTGGGCACTCAGTGGAGGGTGACCAGGGAAACCAATGTGGGGCAAAGTCATGTGCTGACCCAGCCAGGAAACAGGTTTCCAGCTCCTGCCTGCCCTGGATCTTCCTCACCTAGTCTCTCAAACCTTATGGAATCAACTACTCATGTTTGTATTTTGAGGATAAAATAAACTGAACATGGAGGGCTTTGAAACCTCCTGGCAGCTGTTCCTGTGTGGAGTGGTGCTTACTATAGCTTTCACTATGTCCAAATAAGCAATGAAAAGCCTGAGCCTAAAAGAAATTAAGTCACCGAGAGAATTTTATTAATTCATGGTCCCCTCAAAAATTGGCTTTTGCTTTCAATTTAGGAAGATAATCATGGGCTGAGTTGTTGGAAGTAATGATTTCTGGCTGTTACTTATATATGATTTCTTAACCAATTAAAAATCTAAATTTCTTTACATCATCTGATCATTCCTGCTGGCTTTAGTTATCTATTGCAGCATAATAAGCCATCTCAAAATGTAATGATTTAAAACAATAACCATTTTTTTCCTCTCAATGATTCCTTGGGTTGAGTGGGCTCAACTGGGCACTCTGCTCTCACTTCCTCTCTCTCTCTCTGTTTTTGCTTTTGGTGCTGGGGATTGAATACACCCCAAGCACAGGCTGTACCACTGAGCTGCACCCCAAGACCTTGGGCAAGTCTCTTTATTGGGGTTTCTCCTTTGGTTACAGTCAGAGAGTGACTGGGACACTGGGCCTCTCTTCTGGTGTTACTGCATCTGCGTGACTGGGTCCAGGCCAGAGAGTTCTTGGTTCATCAGGAAAAGATTTCATGGATGGACACAGGAGGCTTAAGCAGGAGAAGGTTTCTTAATGCAAATCAAAGGAAAGTACCCTCACAGTGGGGCTGCAGGCAGGCTC